ACTTCAGGATGTATTAAGCTTCGCACGACCGTTTCATTCTGAATTTCGTTACTTTGATCATCTGCTGCTCATAGTGTGGTTCTTTGACTACGCAGCTGACAATGTTCAGCTGTGTCCCTTTCAACGACTAGCCTACAGTGCCAAACAAACTTTAGCGGTTTACATTTTTCAAAAAATTTCCAAAACACTTAGTAGTTTTTCCAGTCGCTTTGACCAGTGTTGCATTTCCTGATGGTCAACCTCCGGACGATTTGGATGCTTGTTTTGTCCTCTTAAGAGATTACCAATTTAACGGGATTACCAGTCATTCTAAATATATGGATAATTTAGTCTCCTTGACAGAGATAAGATGAACGACTTCGGCGCAAATGCATTTGTTGTAACCCGACTTTTCTTTAAAAATTATTTGTTTTTAATTTACAGAAGGCAAAAGAACGGGTTTCCAACGATCAGAAGAAGTCGGTGTACCGGAAGGCTTATCAGTTCCAAGTGATTATCTACAGGCTTCTTTCATAAAACAAACCTCGAAGGAGTCAACAGATTCGGGTCATAGCGACAAGTGAGTTTTTCCATCCCTGTTGAAATTAGCCTGCTGCCATCGAATTAAGCTAAAACATGGAACGCACTGTCTCCGCTCTCTGTGGCAGATGCAGGCGTTTGGGAAGTTGCTTAAGTAATGCATCCTCCTTCTGAGGATTAGTTAAAAGCGAGCTGTAGATTGGTTCCCTGGCGTATACTTGTACCAATTTACCACCGTAATGAATGGGCGAATCGCGGGGAGATTCGTCAGTGGTGGAGTTGAAATCGATGCATCGTCTCTTGGCACTGTACCGTGTGGCTAAGCAAAAATGAAGCTGATTTTACTGTTGGTTGGTTAGAATTATCTTACATCATTTTTTCAGTTGGGGTCCGATACTGACGGATGGTCCGCTTGGCAACTTCGTTGACAACTTAGGACCAGGCCAGGTAAGCAAACCTAATTTCTTACTACGCTGAAATCCTGTGTTTTCACAAAAATCCTTACGTTTAAGATGTCCCACCCCTCATACCTTATCTGAAATTCGAAGCAGTGATGTGTTCTGAGCTCGAAAAATATAACACTCTCTGAAATTTGCCTCCTTTTGACGAAAGATGGTTTTTTTCAGATTACATAATTCCAAAGTTACTTGTATTTGGCTCTTCAGGTCGTTGCCTTTTAATAAATTTGAAAAACTCTTTTGATTTTGTTGTAAGTCTGTTTTGGCGTTGGATACAGATCTTCGGAAATATGCATTGCTGTTTCTTACAGTTTAGCTCTGGCAATTTGACTGCTGTCTTCAGTTTCTGATTGAATTCAAAAAGAGTGAATTTTCTGTTTTAATTTATGTCTGTGAATACGTTTTGGCAAATTAACCAGGTTTTTTATAGGTAGTTGGCCGGCAGGTATTGGCAAGTCCGGTACTTGGCGAAATACAAATCGGTATTGCGGCAGGCCGAGCTGGCATTGACCTTGAAATCATCCGAGCTAAGAATCTTGTGGTCAAATCAGGTGTTAAAGTTAATCCAGGTGATTCTGCAGCACCTTTTATACCTGCATTTGCCGTGTTCTCGCAAGGTTTACCTGGAGGAGCCCTGTTGTGAATCTAACTAAAAATGTAAAGAAGTTTATTCTCTTCCACTTCCCTTCTTCCCTCCTGTTATTGAGGAATTTAGCGAAAAAAGTAGATCCTGCATGAGTAGTTTCAAATTTTCTCATCCTAGCTCCATCATACTTCATAATTCATCTTAAATTTTGATCGTGTTACAATAAATCCGACAACCTACCTAACTGTTTATGTTCCTGAATTTTCAGCTCCGTATGTGAAAGTGTACTTGCTAGAGGGGAAGCAATGTGTTGCGAAAGCAAAAACACATGCGGTAAGGAGGACAACAGCACCACTATTCCAGCAACATATTGTCTTCTCCGAATCACCACGCAAAAAAATGCTCCAGGTCATTTTTGCTACTCGCTGTTGTCATTTTGTAGCGATTTAAGATTTGTATTTCTACC